TTTTTCTAACAGATATTTTGTAATAACCAGTCAGAAATTCAATATTAATAATAGAATCTTGCCTCATTATTCTGACTGATGTCCTCCGTACAATTGTAAGAACCGCGAACAACCACACACACATACACACACCCATACGCATATTAAAATAACTATTGATATAATGTATACCAAAGTAGTTTAATTTATTATGAATAAATTTATATTCTAATTTAAATCCAATCTTTATTAACCCCTCTTATTCTCCAGTCAAAAGATCGCACCTGGTCCCATCCCGCGTAATAGAGATTAAATTCTCTTACCAAAAAGGGACCGCCGAGCGAACTTCTGAAAACCAGAGTAATAACGACCCTAACGGTCGTTTACCTGATTTTCGGAGCGTTAAGTTCGTTCGACCCGATTCTAACGCTTCGAGACGTTTAACTTCGGGATCATGAAGATAGTGGTTGCGCCCTTCCACTGACTCATCCTTCCTCGAGTCTGGACGTAACAATCGCGTTGGCTCTCATTGTCTCTTTAACCTTGAATAATAATTACTTCTTTTTATTTATAATAATGTATTCAATTTTAAAATTTCCGGAAACAGAAGACCCAACAGAAATAGTGTCTACATCTTGGGTCAATGAAATAAAAATGAAAACAAAGTGGCCCCCATATGACCAGCCAGAAAAAATACTTAAAGCTATTCGAAGATGTATAATGCCAGAAAACAATTGGCCAGAGTATACATATGTACTACTTGTGTGTAAATGTGGTAAGTTAAAAATTTCTCTAGTGCTTTTTGAAAAAACTGAATTATACTTTTTAATGTATGAAAGGAATCTTTTTATTTAGAGATTAACTTAATAATTGTACTTATGTGTCGCTGCAATGAATATGGTCAAGTCCATATTTTCATCATGTGTCCCCCTGTGAATCATACAACTTTTGTCTAAAACATTTTTGTCTTAGACTTATAGATTTTAAGATATTTTAGTGGATACATTAAAATGGCCTATCCTGTATAAACATAAAAAAATCCCAACTTATACGCGACAAAAAGTTTAATATTCATCTCTAAAAAATTTATTACAAAAAGCAGTGATATTCCTCTAAAAAAACCTCACAAAGGTAAAAAAAATACGCCAAGTATATAAAAAAAATCCCAACTTGTACGTAACAGAAAGTTTAATATTTATCCCTAAAAAATAACTTAAAAAAATTTTCCCTTGAAAAATAATTTTCATAAAAAATAAAAAATAAAAAAATAATTTTCCTCTAAAAAATAACTCCAAAAAATAAACACTTTTAAAAAATAAAAAATCAAAATTAATGAAATATTTGGCGTGCCCGATATGAAATAAAAATTTGCAAAAGATTATCAGAAATCATTATCAATATATTAATAAAAATATATGACTTATAATGCGACCCGGGTATGCCAAGTTTCTGTATATCACTTTAATTTTAATCCTTTTCGTTCCAGGCCTGTCTGGTAAAGCTTATGATTAATTTCAAAACAAGTCGATCAGTTTAGCACGGGGCACTTTTAAACTCGAAATTGGTGATCGATGTGATCGATGTTATTGTAGTAAGGATTAAGTAGTTTTATGATGTACTATTTGTAATAAAATCCGCAATATAATTGTGCTATTTTATATATTATATATAATATTTATTTGGGGGGGACATACCAGCGTAATTTTATAAAAATAAAATGCCTTTTAATTTTCGAGAGGATCTATAATATTTGTATAAATGCAAGACTGATTTTATCAAATAAATATTATTTCAAATTACAAACCTTCACAAACTGAACTGCTTCTATGTACTTGGCTAGTTAACTTTTGATTTCATATTTAGTTTTGATTTTTGATTCTTTAAAGGTTTTTATTTTTTGGGGTTATTTTTTAGAGGAAAATTATTTTTTAGTTTTTTATTTTTTATGCAAATTATTTTTGAAGGAAAAATTTTTTTAAAAGTTATTTTTTAGGAATAAATATTAAACTTTTTGTTATCGACTTGTTTTGAAATTAATCATAAGCTCTACCATAGATCCGAAAATGTTAAGATTAAAGTGATATACAAAAACTTGGCGTGCCCAATCTGAAATAAAAATTTGCAAAAGATTATCAGAAATCTTTATCAATATATTAATAAAAATGTATGACTTATAATACGACCCGGGCACGTCAAGTTTTCGTATATCACTTTAATCCTAACCCTTTCCGGGCCTTTAGTAGACGTTTATACGCTTTAAATAATATAATATTTTATATTACATTAAATTTAATAATAGAAAAGTAGGAATTATAAGGATATTCATAGGATAATATTTTATTCATTGTAATATTTCATAAGAATTTTTAACTATGCACGGTGATGCAAATTGGCCGTCGATCAATACTTTTATCCGCCCGCTCGATAAGATAACCGAGGCATGCAGACAGCCGTCACCTCGGAAGAGGCAAGAAGCCTGACACACCAGTGTTGTTCTCGGGGATGCTTTCTCGCGCATGCGCAGCGCATTGGTAGAGAAATCCAGCGACGGCGTATGTAGTACATATTTGTGTACGTACATTACTTACAATAATATGTTTAATGCCAGAAATTTTTTAAGCTAATTATAATCGTCTTTTATTAATTTTTTATTATTTATTTGTGATTCATTAATTTGTAAAACATTTTAGATTATTCTTAACATTATCTGAGCAGAGGGCTTAACAGTACCCTTTTTCTTATAAATTTGACACGTATCTTAAGGCCATGTTTAACACGCATGCGCGAGAAAGCGTCCCCCGAGAACAACATTGTGACACACATACATGTGAGATAATATTTTATAAAAGTACGCGCAGAGTATAATACAACAAGAAAAAAAGTAATAAAGTGATTAATAGTTATGAAAATATTGTGGAATAAGCAATGAGTTGCATGTTTATTACATTAATATAGCAAAACAAACCTTGTGGGAATTGTATCAAAAATATTATGCACAATTGAATTAAAAGCATCAGAGTTAGAGCCTGAAATAAAAAGCATTAGTCAAAGAAGAGAAATATGGTAATAATTTTGTTTATAAATCAGAAATTTTTTAAGCTAATTATAATCGTCTTTTATTAATTTTTTATTATTTATTTGTGATTCATTAATTTGTAAAACATTTTAGATTATTCTTAACATTATCTGAGCAGAGGGCTTAACAGTACCCTTTTTCTTATAAATTTGACACGTATCTTAAGGCCATGTTTAACACGCATGCGCGAGAAAGCGTCCCCCGAGAACAACATTGTGACACACATACATGTGAGATAATATTTTATAAAAGTACGCGCAGAGTATAATACAACAAGAAAAAAAGTAATAAAGTGATTAATAGTTATGAAAATATTGTGGAATAGTGCAAAACACAAGGAAAAAAAGTGATAAAGTGAAAAGAAATTATTAACGCGAAATAGTGCAAGGAAGAGAAGTGATTTCTTTTAATGATGTCATATTAAGCAAAGTTAGGTTAGGTTATATTAGCGAAACTAAGCGAATGCTTTACACACAATGCTTGAATGAATCTGTGTATTATCAATAATTAACATGTTTTTTCCAACAAATACGTTGTTGGAAACTGATCATAGAAACATCGAAGGAATATTTGGAAATTTTAGCTGAACATGTTTTCGATAACGATAAGCTGGTAATTATACGCGTGAACGCGCATTCATGCGTATATATTGTTTATTTATATTTTATATATGTAATTAATTTTTATATGTAATATTTAATAAATGTAATTAATGCATAATCAATATTTTTTAGGTTAATTTATAAATGGCTACACAATAAGTCTATGTTAATGTAGCAAAATAAATTTTGTGAAAATTCTATCAAAAATATCATAAAAACAACATTGAATATACATTTTTATTAATTGGCTTCATAATGAAATGATAAAATCATATTGAAGCATTTCTATAGTGTCCACAAATATTTAGCGGATCAGGAATTACTCGCAACTTTTGGTTCTGGTAATGTGTAAATATTTATTTATATTTTATATATAAATGTAATTAATACAACAATATAATGTTATCGAAGAGTATTAGAATATCTGTCATCGACAAATGTAATTCAAATTTGAATCAAAATAAGGAGGAAGAGTCGGTTAATGATGTGAAATTGCAGGTTTTATTAGAGGATCGTATAAAAATTTATAATAATTTGGCAGCTGCGTTGATTAAAATAGAATCCTACGAGGCAGCTTTAGAAAATGTGAAACATGTTTCGAAGTGTCAACTACAAAATGTTAAAGCACTGTTTAGGAAAGATATTGCAAAAATCCTAGTCTTCTTCTTATTTACTATATTTAATCCTTTTTTTAATAAGTTGTATTTATATTTTACATATGGAAAATTCAAATATGTATGCATATATATTGTGCGTATCGTAGGAACAATACAAATATGTGTGTATATATATTGTATAAATCATAGGAACAATATTGAGACGCACAGGAGAATATGCAAAAGCTTATGCAATTTCTTTCTCTCTCTTTCTCTCTTCCCCCCCCCCCTCTCTCTCTCTCTCCACTGAAATTCAAAAATTAAATCCAAAAATAAAGATGTCTACCACAGAATTTATGACCTTAATGGATAAAATTACTAAAAATGGAGAAAAAGAAAAGTACCTATATTGTAAAATGTTAGGTATAGTTGAAGATACTGAAAATCTGTCAAAGGATATAAAAGCAAATGATAAAAGTAAGTAATTAAGTAAAGGATATAGGTGCTTTTTTTTCTGCGTCTTTAGCAATTTTATCCTTTAAGATCATTAATTCTGTAGTAAATATCTTCATTTCTGGATTTAATTTTTGAACTTCAGCGGAGAGAGAGAGAGAAATTGCATAAGCTTTTACATATTCTCCTTTACGTCTCAATATTGTTTCTACGATGTGTACAATATATATACACACATATTTGTATTGTTCCTACGATACGCACAAAATATATACACACATTTAAACTTTCCATATATAAAACATGAATCAAGAATATATATAACTTATTTTTAAAAAAGATTAAATATAGTAAATAAAATAATTAGGATTTTTGCTAAATATCTTTCCTAAATAATGCTTTAACATTTTGTGGTTGATATCGAAACATGGTTCACATTTTCTAAAGCTGCATCATAAGTTTCTGGTTTAATCAATGCAGCTGCCAAATTATTATGAACTTTTATACGATCCTTTAATATATCTATAACAGCATTACTAACCGACTCTTCTTCATCATTTTGATTCAATTGATTTTAATACACAGAATCAGTTATTATCTTGTGAAAAGTCGAGGAGGAAGGGAGCCTCTTCTCCATCTTCAAGTGATATCGAAAATAAAGAATAATGGACTTCCTGAAAAGTATTGAGAGGACACATTGAAGATATTTATATCAGTTGGTCACCAGACTCTAAGAGTCACCATATAAGCATTTCCGTAACACATTATGTTAAGTACTGACCATAAATTTAAACTTGTACACAACTTTAAATTTCAGTCAACGAACAAAGCTTATACATTGCATCAAGCTTGTTACATTACGATTTTCTTTGTATGTTGATTGAAGTTTAAGGTTACATACAAGTCTGAGTTTGTAGGCAGTACTTAACATAATGTAACGTGTTACAGAAAACTTGTGCAGTGTCCTAATTCTTTAATTTCTGGATCCATTAATAATATTGCTATATTGTGAGATATTCAGAAAGGATGTAAATGCGATATTATTAAATCATAAAGGTTTTGTCCATCAATCGATATGTATATATATCTTTTGCAGAAAAAATTAAATTTTTATAAAGAACAATTATTAAACAAAGCAGTGACATCTCCGAGGGGTAAACCGCTGACCAAAATCATGTACACCAATGCCTACTAATGTCCAATTTCTGGGCATTACTGCCGAAATTTATAAAACATTTATTATATATTTATGTTTATAATAGAATATTACAGAATATTTATTGCAAAACATTCAGGCAACTAGACTGCGGATATTTATGACAAGAACAAAATTTATATAAACCTATTTTAATATTATTAAACAAATGTCATATAATAGATATAACCATAAAATGACATTTGCAGTCGATTGAGCACACTTCTAAAATGCTCCGAAAACTACCCGTTTCCCTTGATAGTCAATAAACAGCCGTAAAATGACTGTGATATGAAACCTGGTCATACGAATGACTGCGCACATGCAGGACTAGGCACTCATATCACAGTCATTCTACAGCTGTTGATTGACTATCAAGGGAAAAGAATAGTTTTCGGAGCATTTTAGAAGTGTGCTCAATCGATTGCAAGTGTGATTTTATAGTTATATCTATTTATTTCGACGTAATCCGTAGGAATTTTCAGCATGAATTTCCTCGCTCTGACGTAATAATCCAAGATGGTCGCGGCGAGGGACCAGGAACCTTAATGAATAAGAAATCTAAAATTTACAATGTTTTGTTAGTTTATATTTTATACGTATAGCCGCTAAATCAGAATATTTTAATACAAAAGGTCCGGTTCCGATTATTTGAATAGAGCCGTAGAAAATATATTTCGATTCAACAAACGTTACATCTTCATTGCATGGCCAAATAAAAGAATTAAGTTCAGATTTTAAAAATTTCATTTTCGCCTTGTTGTCATTACAATAATCAACAACTCGGCCAATATAATAGTTGTCATCGTAGAAAACAGCATAATATTTTTCTAATAATATTTCAAGTATGTTTGCGTTACAAACTTTTGGATCATTTTCAAGGGAACATTCTTTTTTTGACTCATTATACATTTGATGTTCTTCAGAAGAACTGGAAATTTAAAGATATTTTTGCTTCTTTTTAGGTTGCATCTTTGTACAGTTTTTCGTTCTTTTATTTGTTGTTTTGTTAACAGTGATAAATCTTCGTAATCTATCCGTACTGACTTTACCTTTACAATCATCAAGAAACGAACAATAAGAAGATTTTTTAACAATCATTATTTTGTCATTTAATGTAATTTCTATGAAAGACGAGTTTTCCGTTATTGATTTCTGTGATAATTGTTTTGAAAAGTTTTTCAATTCTAGACTCCTTAACTTGAAATCGTCAGGACTGTCAAATAAAATTGAGTTATCAATATCCTCGACATTTGTGCTTCTAGCGTTTATAGTGCAATCGTTATTAATTTCACGTTCTATATCATCGAATTTATTAGGTGTACAACTTTGCTTCCGCCGTTTTTTTTCCGAAATTCGAGGCTTTATTGTAAAAAATCACTTTATAAATACAATTATACATTTATATATTATCTACATATATTATCTACATATATTAACATTTACATATATTACATCAAAATAATGTATATATTTATAAAATATACACGTCTTAATGCGACCCGGGCACGCCAAAATAACAATTTAAATATAAACTTTATTGCATATATGTTTTGTTTTTTCCCGATTTTTTTAACAGTATTCTTTCTTTTTATTTCTAAATTCATGTGCCTTAATCGAATGTATGTTCTTGTTCGAACCAGGCATGCTAACACATTCCTTGGCAGAGAATTATTTATTTTTTTCAACACGCGATCTGTTACTGTGTCGAAAATAAGAGATTCCCTCGAAAGTCCATTACCATGGAATGCTAAGAATTCAGCATTCATAATTTTTCCTATATTTTCAAAATCTTCTGAAGGTTGAATACAATTTCCTTTTGAAATACAGGACAGCCAGTCACCCGACGAAATTAATGTATGCGTTGGAACTTGTAAGTGTGGATATCTATGTCGAAAACGATGAGCAACGTAACCTGTATATAAGCGCTTCCTCTTCTATAGTTTGTTTAGCAACTTCGTTTTCAAATAATTCAAGTAATTGCAATTCTTCGCTCGTTGGACGGAAGTCGAGGATTAGGACCGCTGGATAAGGAGATAAGTATAAGAATAAGAGGAGATAAGCTATTACATGCCCAAGTTTATTGCATGACGTCTATGATCTATTTATTTCGACCACTACTTACCGCTAAAGCCATCTATAGGAAAACGGCGGAAGCAAAGTTGTACACCTAATATTTAATAAATTGCAATATATAATTAAAGTAGTAGGGCGTATATTATATTCTAAAATAAAATTATTTTGTAATTAGCTAAATGCACAATATACACACATCTAACGCTTTGGAAAATATTTAATTGAAGGAAAATTTCTCATAAACTCTAAGTCGCATAAAACAAACCTATACCAAAGCAAAGTAAAAAAACTTGACGTGCCCGGGTCGCATTAAAACAAATTGTCCCACATTTATTTGTGTTGTACAATATCTCATATTATGTGAAAATCATTTGCATCATTTATATAATAAAAATATTATATTAAATATTTACATTTTATATAAAATTTTATTAAGTTTTATACAAAAAGAATGTGTCAAAAAAATATATCAAATTAACTAATAAAGGCTCTTATGAATATATCATATGAAAGAAATAAAAGGCAATCAAGAGCCAGCGCGGTAATTTGGATGCATATGTTTTATTACAATCAAATTACATTGATATTTTGACTACGTGTAATGATTTACGATTCTATTAAAATTTCACTTTATAAATACAATTATACATTTATATATTATCTACATATATTATCTACATATATTAACATTTACATATATTACATCAAAATAATGTATATATTTATAAAATATACACGTCTTAATGCGACCCGGGCACGCCAAAATAACAATTTAAATATAAACTTTATTGCATATATGTTTTGTTTTTTCCCGATTTTTTTAACAGTATTCTTTCTTTTCAAATTATTATTATATTATTATTATTATAAGTATACTTATACTTATCTCCTCTTATACTTATACTTATCTCCTTAAGTATACTTATAATAAGTATTGATGTTTTATTTATATACAAATTATTATTACTAATAATAACTCGAATGCTACAATGTAAAACAGTATATAATAGTACAATTTGCTTTTATATTATATCGGATGTAACAGAGCGACCGTATCAAGCTGATTTTTCGAAAAATGTGCATTTTTTACCTTTATTTTCCTTGTCTTTTTCTTCTTCGTCTTGTGTACGATTGTTAATATCTTCACTTCGGAAGTGTGTAGTTTTTCATTGTGAATGAACAATGCAGCTTCCACATCATCATCATTATTATCATCATCATTAAAATCTTCGATACAATCTAATTCGTACGAATCAGTGCAATGTATATCTTCTATTGTCATAAAAGGAACTGCGCTTGAGTCACCTTTGGTGTTCTCTCGTGCCGATATGCACTGTGCAGAATGTTTGCCAAGTATGTACCATTTTAATCTGTGCTGTACTTCCACAGGTGACGGATGGTCGTTGGCTGCTCCCATTGCTCTTAAATAAGAGAAAAGGTTTTCGAGCACATCCTGACATAATCGCCTTGTAATTATGTATTCGGGTATGAATAAATCGGAAGAATATTTTTCTTTTATATATGGCAGCAATTCTTTCAATGAAGCATTCGTCAGTAATATGCCCTTTTGAAATGGTAGGAGAGCCGATTTTTTGCCAACTCTCATGTTGGAAATGAACTGGCTCATTTTCCCCAAAATTTAATTTTGATGTTCCAATTCCACTTCATAAGCACGCGAGCCGCTATGGGATCCGAATTTTGATTGGCTGTTCAATACATCGAACTAGTCATTAATCAGAAGAAAAACATCCGATAGTTCTTGCCAATAATTGTTTTGCGAGAAAAATCCCTTTCTTCCGCAGTACTTAATGGCCAATGCGTTTCGGCGAGAAAAAGCTTGTGCCGCTAATTTCACCAGTTTGACGCTGATGTCCCTTGGCGTCGAGATGCTTTTCACTTAAATTGAAAGCAATTTTTAAATCTTTGGAATTCAGTGCGACAAGTTCTTCCAAAATTCGCTTATTCAATATTTTTCCACCAACAAGAAAACCGTAGTCAATGAAGTTATTTCTTAATAGCTTGATCAAATGAGGAACATCTGCGAAGACAAAAATCTTTAAAGATTTATCTGCCTGGTGTTCGAAAAAATATTTCTTCTCTGAGGAGTCTTGTTTCATGCCTTGCTGTGACTTCGACAATCCAACACCTATGTTTAGTTCATTCCACAAAGCTATGTTCGTAGGTCCTAAATCACTAGTTATTGCTACAACTGTATAATAGATTTTGTGGAGAGCTGTTATAATATTCAATAAAATGTCCTTCATCATTGGCTGAGAGTATTGGTAATAAATCGGCTGTTTCCATTTCGAAAAGAGACCTCTGACCATCACAAATTGACAGGTTTTATGTGGTCCGTAAATTTTCTGTTCCCTGCGTTCTAGATCCAATATGTTTGAAATGTAGATTTCATCAAAGGTCAGAACGGTAATTTTGTCTGCGACAGATAAATCTTCTCCTTTTGATTGCATTATTTTCAAAACATCCTTCAAAACTCCTGGTTTCGTATCAAATGATGCTGCCCAATTCCGCAGAGTGGACTCGCAAGGTAGCGGTAACTGCTTAACTTCACGCAAATATTTGTACGTTTTACCACTCAATAACCGAAGGGCAATAGCGGAAGAAATGTCATCTGCTGACCATTTAATTCTCTTAGCGTTCGGCGCCATCAATTTATTTATTTATTTAATTAATTTTTTATTTACATATTTTATTTTTTAATACGTACACATGGTACCATCTTAACGGTGGGTTTTCTGTATATTTTCTGCTACATTCCATATCTGTGGAAGTTTCGGCAGATGTGGCATGCCCCTTGACAATATTATTTCTCGCACAAGCTACAAGTTCTTCGTACTTTGGGATTCCAGTACGACTGCAACATGCAAAGTACTATATTATTTAGTGTGAAATATATATTACAAATGACAATGATACAAAATCATTTATCTAAGACAATTAATCGAATTTTTTAAAATTTCATACAAGCAGTGTTTTGAAAAACATACACTTAATGCATAGGATCACTTCCAAACTTACCAGGTGTTTTTCGTCATGGGTTCTGTTTCATCATCTTCCAATGTACTGTACCTGTTAATCCTATTTGTATCTTGTTTTGGTAAATCGAGCAATTGCGTTGGAATCGAACCGGTCTTCAATCGATTCATTAATCGAGCCTCGGTATTCAGCGTATGTGGCTTTGTCCACTTCTTTTCCATGCAGTCCGAAGAGAAATGACGCTCACATATTCTTGCTGAAAATTACACATAAGTTTTCAAAATCGCACAAATCACGTTCTCACGTTCTTGACATGATACGAGTATGTCATATGCGGGTATGAACGATTCTAATTCATTGAATTCTCTGATAATTAAAATCAAACTCGATAGATTGTTATTTTTAAATATTTCAAACATTTATAACAAATGTATTTTTTAAATGAAATTTACCGCTGTTCACGTTTAAATTTTCTTCTTCTCGGTGGCAAGCTTCGAACCATTTCTTTTTTAATGCAGGATTTTGCGGGAATGGAAAAAATTTGATGTCTTTCGTTTTCGTAGCTCCACCGGTACGACTTTTACAATTTTTGATGCAACAAGTCGGCATGATTCCTAGATGATCATAATACATATTATTAAGCAAATATCAAACAATATGATGCCTCAACATTAATTATATTAAATTTATATTATATTATATTTTATTAATTATATTTACTACTTACTGCATATGTTGCATCAAAGGACGGATGATACATTGACGGGAGCAGCCATATTACTTTTCTTGCAAAATGAGTCGCGCGCTGATTGGCTCAAAAATTAAACGAGTGCGCAGCGTCGGGAATGCTTCACCTTGTTTTTTACACCATGGAAACACTATCGTACGCAAACGCACGCGTTTAACGCACGCTATAACGCGCAGCAACGCGTGCATGGAAACTAGGGGTTACTACTCGCATACCTGCTTTTGACAAATATAGATTAATAAAATAAATTTACAATGCAAGAATGCATTATTTTATCATAAAAATAGTAGAGATACTTATAAGAGTATCGCCGTATAGTGTAAGGAAGAATAGTATCTCGCGCCAAGTCACACGAAGCAAAAATCGTGCGCCGCAACGGCGAGACGTACCGTATAAGAGTATCACAGAATAATACAACAAGAAGAAAAGTGATTAACTGATTAAGATAAAATGATAAGAAATTATTCGGTTATAAATTATAAGAATATCGCGGAATAGTGCAAGGAAAAGAAGTGATTTCTTCTAATCGATGTCATTTTGGACAAAATTAGGTTATATGATTAGAGAGATATTATCAAGCGACGCGGTAGCATCGCGACGCCAAGTATATCAAAAAAATTTTTCCGGTTTGTCGGTTTTGCCTATGTACAGGGGCCGCGGCGCTACCAAGTAGCTTATCCGGAGTTTTACATCTAATAAACTTTCGATTAAAATAGCTCAGGAACTAAAGCCATAATCAAAAATCTAACGGCACTTTTATTATATAATGTGGATACAAGCTTTTGATTGCGACCAGTTCAAATAGTGTAGTCAATCCTGAGAAATGATGATCGTATATTGTAAGACATCTGTTAGATATAAGGTGGTTATTGGGACATTTGTGTTTATTGTAAAAGAACGTTATATTCTTATTTCATATATGTTTATATCTTTTGTCTGCGTTTATAGATCTATGTTAATATTAAGTTTGTGTTCGCGCGCAAGTATTAGCGCCGCTGCTTCGACACGGACACGCTGCGCGTGCGCGGGAGCGAACTCCTCTTCTCTTTTGTGTGTTGAAATACCACGTCGTATTATATTAAAGTTTTGTTTTTTTTATTTAATTACGTGCTTCTTATTTCTTATTCAGTTGCTCGGACCAATCCTTACAGATTCAGAAGTGGGATTCGGGTGAACTGTGTAAATATTATAACGAATCTTTTAGAGAACGTTTTCACTTGAAGAAGACGGCGCTAACCTGTAAACCTGTAAACCGGCAATATGAATTTCAATGATTTCACTGTTGCGCAATTGAAGGTGGCTTTGCGCTACTTCAATTTATCAGTCGCCGGAAGTAAAGCAAAAATGATTGCTAGATTGCAATCGAAAGATCTCGAAGGAGAAAAAACGAGAAAAATTATCGAAAAGGAGGAAGACGAAACTACTGTACGTGGGGAAGAATTCAGCACCGGATCGTGGGAGCAAAATATGCCTCAAAATTCAGTAAGAGAAGAATTATGGTAAAAAGAGAGAGAGCTAGATAAAAAGAAACTCGAGTTAATGCGGCGAGAAAATGAAATTTTTAGAAATATGTCCCCTGCTGTAACAATTGCCCCTGAACAACCTAATATGCTCGTTAAAGTAATAAGTGATTTACTCAATGAATTTGATAGAACTGATAATACTTATCCGATATGGGAAAAACAAATTAGATTGTTACGCAATACCTATAACTTAAATGATAATTCAATGCGGATTCTAATTGGGGCAAAGTTAAAAGGCCGAACGATACCCCTACTGAAAAAAATCACGTCATGAAATCACATCACGAAATCACGTAACGAAATTAAGTAATTAATGATATAACTAATCACGTAACGAAATGTTCTAAATCAGTATGTGATCTTTGAAAATCACATAATGCTTGAAAATTATGTGATTTTGAAAAATCATTTAACTTGGAAAATCACGTAATTTTGAGAAATTACATGATTTTTTTGGAATCATGATGTTAGCGAGAGAGGTGGACGCGAGAGTGAGGAGTACCGCTAAATGTAATCTTGATGAGTAAGGAGGACGCGGAACTGTATGAAAGACGAGCGACTTGACAATACGTATTTCTTAAAGTAACTTTGTACACTTTTTACAGATTAATGACAATTATATCTGATATTTCCGCAAGCAACGGAGGGATAATCTCGAACGAGGAGACCGCACTGTCGAACGATAAGACCGCACAGAGAATCGGTGGATCGCGAGCCGCGAAAGCGCACTGGATTAACTTTCGCGACTGATTTTAGTCGAGCAGCGCGAGAAAATCTACGTGTACGTGTCGATTACTTTTTGTCAAGAGCCGGCCGCGCCTTGTGCGCGCCTCTTTTATAATCTTGAATCTCTATATCTCCTATCGCTTTAAATTCGATCTCGTTTAAGGCGCCTCGTCTTCCATCGCCTTTAATTCGATTTCGAACATCCCGCCCGTCTCGCCAGTAGAAATTGGCGAAATTTATCTTAATTCGTATATAAGGAATCCCGGGAGTGAACGTTACTATGGCGCGATGTTAACAACAATCCCATCCGTTGCTTGATCAGACGACCGGCGACGGGTCGCCGTCACGCTTGCCTATTATTAATACATAACAATACGAGTATACAGAAGGAGAATAAAATTACTACAATTATATGCATGCCGTAAAATCTAAGTTACAAAAACGTGAACCGCTTGAGCGATCATACTTGAGCTTCCTCGCTCGCCTCGCTATCGGCGACCGGCAAAAGAATGAGCTTTACTATAGGCCGGGTTAATACTGTGGTAGCCGTACGGAGGGTCACAACGCGGATTTGACCGTCTTCTCCGGGATGGATCCGAATGATGCGTGCCAAGGGCCATTTCGTTGGTGGCAGGTTTTCGTTTAGGATGAGGCATAATCGGCCGACTGTGAAGCTCGATTCCTTGCTCCACCATTTAGGGCGATGTACTAGTGAGTGGAGGTATTCCTGGGACCATCTTTCCCAGAAATGATCCCGCATTCTTTGAAGGAGCCGCCAACGGGCCAGCTGGTTCATCGGCTTGTCCATGGAAAGTTCAGGTATGGCGGTCAGAGCGGATCCCACGAGGAAATGACCTGGCGTGAGAGCGGAGAGGTCTTCCGGATCATCTGAAAAAGCCTGAAGAGGTCGTGAATTAAGGCACGCTTCTACCTGAGTGAGGAGAGTGCTCATCTCCTCGTAGGTCAGGGTTGCATCTCCCAACACCCGCCTCAAATGATGTTTGAGAGACTTGACGGCAGCCTCCCATATTCCGCCGAAATGAGGCGCCGAAGGTGGGTTGAATCGCCATGTAATTCTATCGGCGGCGAGCTGCCTGACTATCGCTCGTTGTTCGGGACTGCTGGCAACGAAGAAGGCCCGTAGCTGTGTGTCAGAATGTGCCACGAACGTCGTCCCGCAGTCACTGTGGAGGGTTTGGCACAATCCGCGACGAGAGGTGAAACGACGCAATGCCGCCAAGAAGGCCTCCGCCGTATAATCCGATACGACCTCCAGATGCACGGCCCTTGTTGAAAGGCAGACGAATACAGAGATGAAAGCCTTGTACGCTCGATGGCCTCTTCCTTTGGTGGTCCGCATCAAAATAGGTCCGGCGTAGTCGACGCCGGTGTGTAAGAAGGGTCGAGCTGGCATCACTCGTTCGCGAGGCAGGCTGCCCATCTGCTGTGGCGTCGCCGCCCGCCAACGCACACAAGTCACGCAGCGAAGAATTTGTTGTTTTACGATGGCTCGGCCTCTAGGGATCCAATAACGTTGCCAGATCATCCCCAGGGTCATCTGTACTCCGCCGTGCAGCGCCCGACGGTGGCACACCTCGACTATTAGTCGAGTGAACGTCGGCTCGCTAGGCAGGATGATGGGGTGGCGCTCATCGTAATCCAGGATGGCGTGCTTCAGACATCCTCCGACGCGGAGGATGCCCTGGCGATCTAGAAAAGGACTGAGTCTTATAAGTGGACTAGATTTACCCGGTCCGCGGCCCTTTCGTATGGCCTTTAGTTCGTCCTTGTACTTGGTAGATTAGACCAGCCGGAGCCACAATAGGCGTGCGTCTTCCAGCTCGGCTGTTGATAAAACATTACCGGAGAGTTGCTCAGTCTCGTCCGCCGCTGGACCGATATTTCCTCGTCGCGGAAGCCATCGTCGGCACCACGCTGTCACACGCAGCAGTCGATGGTAGGAAGAGAACCGCAGCAACTCAGCGGGATCTTCGCCAGACGAAGGCTGAGCTTCGGCCACATGAACGCGGGTTCGTTCTTCGAGCAGATTCTCATAAGTAACCAGCCCGCTTGAAACGGGCCAAGAAGATTCCCCAAGCTGGAGCCACGGGGGACCTTGCCACCATAGATGATGATTTACCAGTTCACCAGGAGAAAGTCCTCGTGAGGCGCAATCAGCTGGATTATCCCGCCCAGGGATGTGGTGCCATAGAGCGCCGGGAACAGTAGTCTAGATTTCGGCCACGCGGTTGGCGATAATTCTTCCAACGTGAGGGATGTCCCCGTATCCAACCTAGAGCGACCGTGGAGTCCGACCACAGGTGCATTGGGGTCTTCGATAAGTCGAGCGTTGTCCGAACGTGGGCAGCAAGCCGAGCGAGGAGAACAGCAGCGCTGAGTTCTAGACGAGGTAGAGTAATCTGTCGAATAGGAGCGACTTTAGTTTTAGCGGCTATCAAGCAAGCGTGCCACTCATTGTTGATTTCGGTTCTCAGGTAAATGACGGCAGCATAGGCACGCTCGGAAGCGTCGGCGAACCCGTGGAGCTCAGCCTCGCCATCGAGCGAACGCCGGCCGATCCGCCGAGGTATCCGGATTTGTTCGAGCAGGAGGAGCTCGTTTTGATAATCTAGCCACCGTTTGGCAGATGCTTCGTCGAGGGGGTCGTCCCAGTCGATGCGTTGCAACCAGGTAGCCTGAAAGGCGATTTTACAGTTGACAACAGCGGGCGCCAGCCATCCTAGCGGGTCGAAGAGTCGCGCTGTCAAGGAGAGAACTGATCGCTTTGTTATGTTTGCCACTGAGATCGTCCGTGTGGCGAATGAGAAGCAGTCCATCCCGGGATGCCATTGAAGTCCGAGTGTGGCGTGGGTTTCGTGTGGTCGCCAGACCCGAGGCTCGCGTTGCATTTGATGTTCGATAGGCACTTCCGCAAGTATAGAAGACTCGTTCGCCGACCATTTCCGCAGAGGGAAGCCGCCCGCCGTGCAGAGTCCTGTCAGCTGGCGCTGAAGCTCCTGAGCCTCATCGAGGGTGGCGGCACCCGTGAGGACGTCATCCATGTAGACGTCGCTGCGGATAACGAATGCTCCTATAGGATATCGCTGCTCTTCGTCGCTGGCGAGTTGTTGAAGAGTACGCATAGCCAGAAAGGGCACACAGGATAGCCCGTAAGTAACCGTATTTAGACGGTATTCCTGGAAATCGGCCTGCCTGTCGTAGCGCCATATGATCCTTTGCAAGTCACGGTCGTCAGGATGGACTAAAATCTGACGGTACATTTTTTCCACGTCTGTGGCCATTACGTACTGATGTCGACGCCATCGAAGAAGCACATCGCAGAGCGGGGGCAGCAAATTAGGGCCGACCAGGAGGTGTCGGTTGAGCGAATCGCCTGAAGCTGTGGTCGTCGAGCCGTTGAAGACGACGCGTAGCTTTGTCGAGGTACTCGACTCCCGCATGACTCCGTAGTGGGGCAGGTAGCTCACGTGCTCTTCTGTTGGTTCTGATTGACTCACCGGGCCCATGTGGCCTAAGGCTTCATACTGTTGCATGAAGTCTTCGTAGAGTTGATGCAGGCGATGATCCCTGTCAAATCTTTTCTCCATGCCGGAGAGTACTCGCTGAGCGGAAAAACGCGTTGAAGAGAGGTCCGGCAGCGGCGCGACGACCGGCAACCGAACGACGTATCGTCCCTTCCCCCCAGTGCGAGCGTGTGTTTCGTTGTAGAAATTTTTACACTCTTGATCCTCTGGAGTAAGTTGAGAGCCAGAGACGGGCAGTTCTTCTTGCTGCCAGAATTTACTTACGAGAAAAGACAAATCTTCGTCCGTTTGGCAATGGTACGATTGAGCGTTGCGCTGCATCGTTTCGCCAGTTGTTCCCGCGGGTCCAGACAAAACCCAACCTAATGACGTCCGTTGAGCTATAGGTTCATGGGGAGCTCCTTTACGAAGGCCTGGCTGGAGGAATTCGGCATAGACATCCGCGCCCAGCAGAATGTCCAACGGGTCCGGTTCCTTAAAGTCAGGGTCGGCGAACCTCAGTCCTCGGAGGTGTGTCCACGCTCGTCAATCTCTTTTAAACCCTCCGCTTACGGTGGTGATCTGAGGGAAGACCATTGCCGTTACCGTTATCGGCGGTCCTCATCCTTGAGGTAATATCTGGAACTTGACTCGGCTGTTAACGCGGCCCGACGACTTCTCACCAACGCCGATTATTCGGATAGAAGCTGCTTGGCGAACTAATTGCAATCGTCGTGCCGGTGAAGACGTGATTATCGACGAGTCGGAGCCCTGATCTAAGAGGGCATGCGCGGTGTGCACGACTCCGTCTTGATCTGTTACGCAAACGCGAGCTGTAGCTAGAAGCACTGTTGCTTCTTGAGACCGCTTTGCGAAGGATGTCGCGACTTCGCTTTCTTTAAATGTATCATGCAACATCGTGTGGTGACGCGCGCGACACGATAAGCATGTTTTCTGCGTGGTACACTCACTTAGTTTGTGCTTGCCGAGGCAGTTGAAGCAAAGATTGTTAGCTTCAACGTGTTGTCTCTTTTCCGCGGCGGTCTTGGCCTTGTAGCCGTCACAAAACATGATGTAGTGATCATGATTGCAGATAGAACACTGTCCGCGTTTGTTCGCGGGCTTACGAGCGTGAAGTACGCGCGTCGGACGTCCCGAATTTAGACTTAATTTCGCAGGGCTAGTCTCCAGTTGACTAGACTGCAAGGATTCGAGCGTATGAAGCCGACGGTCTATGAACTGTTGCAATGCGGTATACGACGGAGGTTCCGTCGCATCACTGATATAACTTTCCCACTCGCGACGCGACCGGGAATCAAGGAGATCCACGACGAGATGAACGAAGAGATCCTCACCGCGCGTTATCGGCCGTCCGATGCTTTCGAGAGAGCCGATGGTGCTCATTACACCGTGATATAATTTTCGCAATTCGGTAGCGGATTCACTTTTGAGTTTCTGCAGAGCCGAAAATTGCGAAATGTAAGAACGAACTACAAGACGTTTATTTTCGTAATATCCTGTCAGGATTTTCCACGCGCGATCGAAATTTTCGGCAGTCGTCGGCAAACTGCGGATTAATAGTTCCGCCTCACCTTTCAAGCACGTCTTCAAGTAGTGAAGTTTCTCCACTTGAGCTGTGGAGGCATCTTTCACGATGAGTGAGTTGGAGAGATACCGGAAGGAAGGCCACTCTTCGTACCGACCCGAGAATTGTGGCAGCTGGATCCGCGGCAAAGTCGTGCGTGATGTCTGCAAGGGATTCGCGCCGACGGCAGGCGCTTCCGCGCTGACCTTATTTTTCAGGAAGCGGAGTATGGAACATAATCTTCTGTGCGATATAAGCTTCCTCCATAAGGGACTGCATGTCCTTTTTCAGGTAGTCATGTCCTGCCAGGGCCTCCCTGTATGTGGCGAGGTGCTTGTCGTGCTGGATGTCGAATTTTTCCCAGTTGGATTCGTTCATTTGCGCACCGTTCAATTGGACACGTTGTTTTTGGACACAACATATGTTTTTGTATAATTTGGAATACATACACACGCATGTATAATTTTGAAATTTTTTGACATTTATTATTAACTTTATTTAGTGTATTAACTTTATAGAGTGTCGAAAGGCTCGTAGCTCCCGATAAGCTAGAGCAAGAGCGACTGTATCGAGAGCGGTCATCTCTCTCATTCCGAATTCTTAGAAATTATCGATCGGCCGCGCTATATCTCCTATCGCTTTAAATTCGATCTCGTCTAAGGCGCCTCGTCTTCCATCGCCTTTAATTCGATTTCGAACATATGATTCGATCTATAAAAAAAATGGTCGATTAATTCAATTGAATTTTTTTAAGGATTATATTATATTAAAATGTAAATATTCTTGATATTTTTATCACATTCTTCAAAAAAGACATTAAGATATAGAATTAATGGGATCTATTATTTTTATATTATTAATGTAAATTCTAAAACATTTGCTTTAATTTATAATCTTTTTATTATTGTTGCATCTAAGTATAGTAATCAAATTTTAAAGAACTGAATGATAGAAATAGAAAAAAGAAAAAATATACAGTTTTGAGTTAGATGTTTATTAATCTCATATAATAAATATAGTAATGAAATTAATTTACATTATGTAAGTATGAAATTACCTAATGACTAATAAAGAACCTTAATTGTATAAAAACAATTTTTTTTACAATAAAACATCCTGCATATAAGAAAACATTAAAAACATACAAAAAAATTCAGGCTTAAATTGTACGTAGAATGGCGTAATTAATCACATGTTATTTTCGATCTTTTTAACCAGTTAAATCGCATAACGAAATCATGTAATACAATTGCGAAAAGTTTAGAAACGTTTTATTACATAATAAAAAAGCTAAAAAATAACACTTAATCAATCACTTAATTTGTTATATAAATTACCGCCATTTGTTTATAACATTATAACTCTCATTTACAAGTAAAAAACGATTAATAAAAATACAAATTTGGCACTGCGCATATATACATCATGTTATCTATATTCATAAAAACGCAAACTCTTTCGATGCTGTTAGTGTCTTTTGCTACTAAATTATCAGAAATATTTACAACTTTTTTCACTGGTAAAAAATTGTTATTAAAAACATCTTCCGTATTTATTAAATGACAGATAGTGTATTCTTTCCTTGTTGGTGCATCGATAATAAAGTCTACAATGCAAATAAAAGTCCCTTCTGTTGTTAAAGCATACGAATTGTCTGATCGAATCATATTTCTTTTTGATGATGTGTACAAACACCGTTCTTTTACAATTTTCCGATATGTTCGACTTTCATCAGATAATTCAAGTTCTTCTATCCACATTAAGCTAGTTCTGTAGTGTGGTCCGAAATATCTTGCATACAAAAATTTACATGTTTGTTTTGCGGGTTTTTTGTCTAGATAAGAAATGAAACTACTTACATTTGAAAATGCTTTCAAAACAACATGTTTCTCTAAAATTAATTCGCTTTGACTCATTGCTATCGATCTGCAAATTTGATGTACAACGCCCTTAGCACCGTGGACTTTTCGAACTATTTGACCATTCCCGTTTTCAAAACAATAACCAGAATGAGCCCAAAGTGGGCCCCAATCTGCTACACTTTGTGCCAAATGCAGTAGTTGATGGACGTTATATGTCATAGCAGATTTGAAATAATAGCGTTCGGTGTAATGAACAATTTTTGTCAATAAGGTATGAGCATGATTTACTTCGTCACGTGTAATGCAATTCTTTAGTAAAATATGGAATGCTTCTACTAGAAGTGACCAATGCTTTACCCATAATTCTAAATGTGGAAAACATAGTAATATCGGTAAACTGTAGTACAGAATCCAATTCTCCCACTCTCTTGCCTTCCAATATTTTCTATCTCGTATGGAGCGAGATAAACGAGCAACTTGATTGGGAGCTTTTATTATTAATAACAAGTTGTCAATTTTATTAATATCATTATTGGATAAAGAATATGGCAAATTGTTCGATTCGATCCAATACCCTGAAAATTGTTCCGCTATTCCTAAACAAAGACAGTGTATACTATCTGGTACGAAACCGGATATAATGTTAAAACCTTGCAAATTAATTAAACATGAAGGTCTTTTTACACCATAAATAGGATTTCGAGATGTAAGACTCTGTCGCATGTGCTCGATTGTTTTAATTCCAGTTCTTTTAGGCGGTATTTCATTTAATAAAATATATTTTACACTTCCACCTCTCTTGTAGACAACATAATATCCTGGGTGTAAATACCAATTGCACCCGAAATAGCCATTATACTGAACCATACCCTGCATCGGTGCAGGGCAACAGAGTCTACGCAGCAACATATGGTGAATACTTTAATAGTGCGTACTTCATTTGCAATAGTACATCGTACACCAACATTTGACAATTTGTTCATGTGAACAATGTACGGTTTTAGAAAAATATTCATATTTGGTTTATCTTTACCGAACCATATGCCGCACACTATAGGTCTAGAAGTTCTTATATCCAAGGGTAATTCATTTATAATCATTTGAATCGGCCAAATCGAAAATCGGCGATCCATCACTATTCATCGTAGTTGTAGCAAAATTAAGTTTATCATTTGTTGACAATGAGTCAACAAATTCTTTGTATAATACTCCGTCCGTAATATCATCGAATTTTTCATGATTTCGCACTTTTTCGCGAACTACATAATCATAATATTTTTGATTGTCTTGATTTAAATTTGCAATTTTGTCATTTACATTCATAATAGCAAAAAAGTCATTATATGTTGTATCTTTCAATGCAATTACATGTTGTGCCTCTAGCCGCTAGGAAGAGGTCAATAGGGATTTATACGCCCAAAGGATTAGGATCCACGCTCGAAATAACACACTCCCGGACGTTAGGTATAAATTGATATATTTCACAGATTCTTGTACACCTTCACTTAGTCGCGATTATAATAGTCGGGCGCGATACGTACGGTATATCGATACTGTTGATATGAGCGAGCGCGTAGCGAGCGAGTAGCGAGCGAGTAGCGAGCGTCGATGCATTTCGCGCTTATTATATATCTTAATCAATTAGGTCGTTGATTAGGGAGGAGTGTGGTGTCCCTGACCGGAGCATGTCTCGTGCTCCGCTCGTCAGCTGTCTCGTCAGCTGCTTACTCAGCTTCCGAGAACTTGACCGTGTCTTACTTTCATTTTATTAATACTCTTTTATTCTTTCTTAATTACTTTTCCTTGGGCTCTTTCTCTGATTCTAATGCTTTGCTTTAGTCAGCTCTTTCTCAATCTTTTCTGTTCTACTTTACTTGTTTTATCTTTTAATATTAAGAGATCGATCGGGTTACGACATCCTTCCCCCTTTGGAAAAAGAAAATTAACTGTACGTGAATTTTCGTCCACATATTTTTTCGCTATACATTTTTCGCATTTTACAATTGTTTCTTATATCTACCTTATTTCAATATAGCATCGCAGTGTTAGTTATCGCGGTGTCAGTTTCTATCTCAGCTGTTCTATTCGATCCGCTTGCGGTGCCGTAGATGTGCTCTTGAATTATTTTCGGTTTCCACATCGGATTTATATTGGTTTCTGGTAGTTTTTTTCTTTTCTGTCTTATATTTTTTCTTGACGTACATAATTGCTATTATGGTAATTATTATTATTATTATTATTCCTGTGCAACTTGAAGCTACGGGATATATAACGTGTTTGTTAGTAGTAAAATAATTGTTATTTAAGTCTTCGTTTGTTTCGTCAAGTCTTTCGCTTAGGTCCCTTAATTCTGTCGGGTTTCTAATGACTTTTCGTAATTTTATCGGTCTAATTTTGTCCAGTATTTTTTCGTTTCGTTTGTCATGTATCATCGTAAGATTGTAATCTGGTAGATTTGTCTGTACGATTGTTATTATCGCGGGCTTTTTTGTTCGTATTATGACGTCTTGCGTCGTTAATTTACATTTTTCCTTTAATGTGATTTGTCCGCTTCTTTTTAATTCTAGTTTTCGCGTTGCGTCGTTTTCGCACGTTATTTCGATCGGTTGGTTTGCTCGTGTAGAGTATAACCATGAGTTCGCAATACTCAGCGCTATCCATATTGTTGTATTCGTGTGTATGTGTCGAATATTACAATTGTTTGTGTATGTCTCTAACTGTACATACGCTTGTACTTCGCATAGCGCTCCTTCGTCTAAATAATGTATGGGATAATTTTGTTCGCAAACATATTGGTCATTATTTCGCACGCATTTATTTAGATCGTTTTCGGTAGGCGTAAAATACGTTCGGCTATCTACATCTATCGCTATTATCGGTTGATTTACTTCTATAAATATAAATGTGTTATTAAATTTGTGCGTAGGTAATGGGATTGCCTTTATTATTTCATACTCGGGGTATGTGATTAGCGGAATCTTTATAATCGTAAATATATTTGTATTATCGTAGTATGCGCTAATTGTTAAGAACTTTTCGATTGTTCTCCAATTTTCTGCGGATATTTGAAATGGGAAGTGCGTTCCCTGCGGTATTTGTGACGCTGTTTCCTTCATGTTATCTAGAATGCTTTCGATGGGTAATAATCTTATGTCGATTATCTCTTTTTTCGCGTTCGTCAGATGCGCGATAATGTCCATAAGATCGTTCGATAGATCTTTTATTATGGCATTTAATATTATGAAGTGTTCGTCGAGATCTTCTCGTTGTCCATATCCGACTTCTGTTTGTATCCAGGCTTGTCGCATCTTCTCTGTTATATTTAAGAATTGTTCTTCATTTTCTTGCAGAACTTTTTCAACATTATCAACATGCGCAATTGTTGCGTTTAATATTTTAATCTGATTTTTCATCGCGTGCTGCAGCGTTTGCTGATTTCTTTGCATGAGATTTAATTGCTCCTTTATAATTTTTTCGTCGTCTGCGTCCATTGTGCCGAAGAGTGTTTTGGCTATCGTTCCTAGACCGTCGATTAGCCCTCGTCTTGTCTTCTTGGGTGCTTGGTACGCAAATTTTAGGCGTTTTAGCAATTTTTCTGCTTGTTCTCTGTCCTTTTCTGCTATTTGTAGCAGGTTGTGGCAGGTTTCTTTCATTTTTATTTGCAATGGTTTATCGTAGCATAGAGCTCTCGTTTGTGCCATATAGTTTCTCAATTGTTCATGTCGATGGTCCATTGCGGCGATGTCTATTTTTATCACCATCTTCCATGTGGACTCGATTTGGTTTATCTTGCCCATTTTTTCGAAGTAGATACCCGGTTCATATTTAAATTCTTTTATTTCGACTTGGGTATCAGGTTCGGTTTCCTTACAGGTGCTCCGTGCAATAAGACTCCTGTAATAGAAAGCTTTGTATTATATTATAATATTTTCTTAGAATCATTTGCGGTGCATTCTCTTTTTCTCTGGATGCATATACAGCTATTTTTGCTTTTATCTAGCCCTTTTCAGGCTTTTTATTCGCTCTTCCATTCAGTCCGTCTTCCGACGTCGTCTTGTATTGAGCGTTTCTTTTTTATTTTCTCTCGCGCTGTTTTATTATCGCTTTGTGTTGTCGATTGTTGGTTTCATGGCTCCGAATTCGAGTGAGTTTCGTTTCGCTGCGGGGCAGAGTTCAGTGCGTGATAACGGGCGTCGCGCGGGGCAAGATCCGGAGGAGCACGACCATTTTGCTCGCTCCTTTCGGGATCAACTCTCGGCGCCCGCGTTTGTTCGCGAGATCGATCTACTAGGTCTTCCAGATCTAGTGATTGACCGTGCCGTTGCTTTTGTGCCGGAAGTGGCTGTGGACGCTCTGCCGCCCCATTTTAATCGAGGTCGCGGGCTTGAGTTCCGCTGGGATCCGGCTCCTCGTTTCGTGGGACGTGGTTGGTTTCTCAACCCCGAGCCTCGTCCTGTGGGTCGTGGTCGCTTCCTCAACCCCGAACCTCGTCCTGTGTCGCCTCTTCTTCAGGCTCTGCGGGAGTGGAACCGGGGTCGCGGTGCTGGACGTGGAAGTGGAGGGCGTTAAGGTAGGAATTTTTTATTTCTGTTCCTTATTATTTATTCTATTTTTTATTTTATTCGCGCATTTTTCTGTTTCTTTTTCTTCTTTCTCCTACTTTTTTAATTTTCGATAAATGGTTTTAATCGATTTATGTGGACGCGTATGGTTTTCCTTCCCCTTTTTATTGTGTAGTTCACTTCCGAATTTTTTTCGATTATCGTGTAAGGTCCGGTCCATAGGGAGTCCAATTTCTTTGATCGTCCTCGGCGAACTGTTTCGTCGTACAAGAGGACTTTTTCTCCTACCTTAAGTTTAATTTCTTTAGTCTTTTTATCATAATTTTCTTTGGTTTTTATTTTTTCGTTCTTCAGATGCTCCTTTGCAACTTGCTGTGAGGCGCGTAATTTTTCTTTCAATTCTTGCGCGTAATCATCGTATGTATACGTGGGCTTAGGCGGTTGCGACAATGCCGTCGGTAATGTTGCTCGGTGCCCGTAAATTAATTCGAAGGGTGTGAACCCTGTCGCCGTGTGCGGTGTTGTATTGTATGTAAACATCGCATAGGGAATCCATTCGTCCCAATCCGTTTGATCGGCATTTATATAATGTCGGAGATATTCGGCTAGAGTCCGGTGAGATCGTTCTAGCGCTCCGTTGCTTTCCGGATGATACGC